CCAGGCGATCGCTCACGAGTTCTAAGAGCAGATGCACTGGGGAAACCAAGAACAGTTTTCTAATCACAGTGAGATCATCATCTCCAGTCAGTCACACGCAGGAATTATCCGGACGCCCAATGAAAAGGCTTGTGGAAGGCAATCTGTGCAGCTAAGCCGGGGACAAGAGCAAACCCACGCAGCCACTCACTTCAGTATTATTCAGACCCATTCAAGAGTCACGGGACTGCAGGCTGTTGGCACAGCGTTTCTTCCTTCCACACTGGGAAAAACACTGCAGAAAGCTGGGGATGGTGCACTAAGGGGCTTCTGCTCCTTCATACGGAACCGGGTACTAGGCCCGCCCAGGGCATGCTGCCCATCAGCTGATGAGGTAAAGGACAGTTCACTCTTTCTGACCCAATGATTCAGAATTCATCAAGAGCAAGATTTTTTTTAAAAATAAAGATATTAACCCAAGAGTACTGTCAGGTCTTGTACTCCCTCCCTAAACACCGACCTGTGGGTTGGTGGTGATGTAGAAGCCCGACACCCCAGCCTTCTCCAGAGTGCTCTGCTGATCTATCACTTTTTGGTCCAGTTCCAAGACTATCTTCTCATCCATCATGCGCTGTTCCTCTCGAATCCGTTGCTCCACAGCCTGAAAAAGATAACAGCCAACAGAAAAAAAAGTGGAATATCTGCCTTTTTCCCATTTTTTTTTCCTCATTTTTAAGTCTTTTACTGAAACCAAACAGCGACTAGAGCCAGAAGCACTCCTGCTCCGAAGAGGCCCCAGGACAGCAGAGGGCAGCAAGCACAGCCCCAGGTCTTACCTCCTCTACCGGCCATGTCTGAGAGCAAAGCTACCACTCCAGAAAACGCAGGGAAGTCACCGGGACCAGCCTGCTTTCCCTGTGTTTGGGGGCCAGGAAAGACCATGAGCAACAGATTATCTGAATGACTTTTCCTGACGAGCCGAGGTCCGACCAGCAGGCTATGGCCGAGCACTCCAGCAGCACAGGCTCAAAAGAAGTCGGTGTGCCCTCACAGGAGGCTGAAGAAAGGCTTGAGGAGTAACACAGGCCAGTGAAGCTCATCAAGGTGTCAGCTTGGGTGCTTCCCTGAGCCTCCATGTTCCCTGGACACTAACAACACAAAGCTGGAGCTGTCAATCACCTCCAGATCCCACTTATTCACTAAAGGAGCCAAACTCCTCAAAAACCCTGACTTTGCAACTGAAAGCCAGTTTATTTTGTATTAACAGCAAGCTCAAGTCTCACTCAGGAACACAGTGTGCTGGGGCTCTAGTTCTGGCAGACTGAGAACATTCTCAAACGAGGACTTTGCAAAATAGCCCCAACCAGAAGACAGCCCCTCCTGCCTCACCAGCATCTGCCTCAACTTCAGCAGAGAGCCCTCTGCAGCGCCTCTGAGGACGAGATGGAGCCCAGTGACCAGGAGCTGCAGCAAAGGCAGGCTGGAAGTCGGGAGCACTCAGGTGCTCGCTGCAGAAAGGGGCACTGCTGGTCAGTTCTGGAGAAAACCTCAACCTACCAGAAGCTCTGCCGGCGCGGGGAGAGGAGAGCAGAAGGGTTGCAGGGGACGAGGAGATCCCAGAGCAAATGAAACGCCACGTGTGTGCAGAGGGAAGGCAGTACCACCTCACCGGGTCGCACTGAGCAACAGGCTGCTTTCGCAAGCCCCAGGGAAAATCAGGAAGCCCCAAATCCCCTCTAAAGCCAAAGAAAGGCTCATTCTCTTGCAAGGAGTAAACGGCTCATGTTTCGGCATCTTCCTAGTGCAACGCTGCCCCTGGGTAACACAGCAGGCAGAGGCAGGCGCTCAGCTGCAAGTATTCACGGGGGGAGTTACCATCACTGCACAGAAGGGGCGGTCACAGAGCCGGGGATTCCCCACCCCGGTGGTTTAAAAGACCAGGGCAGATCCATCTGCGCCAGGAGCCGAAAGCCTGTGCGCTGCCACGATCCTAGGGAAAATCCAGGATCTGGACGAGCAGCCCCGGCCCTGAGCTGAGGTTTGCCCACGGCACGGATGGATCAGGGGCTGCAAAAGGCCCCACCTGCACCAAGAGCAATTATCACTTCCACAGAGCAGGAGCCACCTCACGTAACCTTCCCTGGATACACAGCAACGAGCACCTTGCATCCCTAGTTACCTCCCCGGGTTTGAGAAAGTTCTGCAGAACTGCACGCCATTAAGGAGACGCGGGACTTGGATCCACCACAAGATCACCAGACATCAGCTGCTTCGCAAAACACACTCAGGGCAGGATAAACGGGAAGAAATTAAAGCCTCAGTCAGAGGTGAGGCAGAGGACCTAACTGCCCCCGTCACTACTGGATGCTAATGAGCCCAAGAAAGCTCTGTCCTCAGGCCTTCTGCAGTCTAGAGGTTCGTGCACTTTGTGGAAGATAGGAAGGACTCAAATCCCTCGCTCCCCAGAGGTTTTCCTTCCTCCCAGCCACCTTGGGGGAAGGGGGAGGCACCACACCATTGTCTCCTCCACTTACTGCCTACATACCATTTAGGGTTGGCACCTGATTCTGGGCTACAGAAAAGCACCAAAACTTTGGAGAGAACTAAGGCTTGAACCAAAGGCTTTTGCTTCAGCTCTGGTGGCTGGTGACCCTGTCGATGGGTGAAGGTTTTCTATATGCTACGGGTTCCAGTAAGAAGCCAAATGTCTAAAACTGCACTTTGAATTACCTCTCCTGGGAGCCCATCCCGAGCTATCTCATGGGAGCTGGTCTTTGAAACCTTCAGCCACAGAGGGCAGCTCCCATTAGACATGTACCAACTGTTACGGGGATGACCAATCTATTCCTGAAGTGCTCTACAGCAGAAATATCAGAGGATAAAAAAGGGAAGAAGTAACTCTAGTGACACCTGCCAGAGGCAAACAGAAGAGAAAGGCAGAGGGAAGCTGGAAGGATGCAGCCAGAAGTTGCACGTGATGTAAGACAAGGAGCAATCACACATATGAGGCCTACTTCATGCGTGAGGGCAAGACTGGAAATGCTTTAAACAGACAGCAGAGATTATTCCTTGCTGCAGGTGCAAGTTACTTGGAGCCAGCAGTAACAAGGACAGCTGAGGTCCGGCCTGGCTTTGGTCACCTTGACAGGAAACAAGGGACGGGGAAACACCAAGACAAAAGATCCCCCATCGAGAGCCTGTAGTTAAGCAGTTCTCTGTTTGCCTTCTGTGGAGTAAAGTAAATTCCCCGCTACATGTAAACTCCGCTGATTAAGATAACTAGCTACTGGCAATTTCCTCTGCCTTATAAAACCGCCTCTGCCTTATCAGCAACGCGGAGATAAGTCCCCTGGGACTGAACCTACCGCTCGTGCTGAAGGGCCTTTCCCCAGATGCCCCGGGATGCTCGCAGAAACCATTTCTACGCTGATCTCAAGGCAGTCCCTCCTCATCAGTGCTACTAAAATGCGATTATTTTTTGAATGGTCCCCGCTTCCTAGCTGCTACAACGCAACGGCAGCTTTCAGGTACCTTCTGCGTGCTTTCTGTCAGCTTGCTCTGTCTGTGCACAGCCCTCAGCCCGCCGAGCAACCAGGAATCATTAAAGCAAGGCGGGGAGCGTCGCTCTTTTGGAGTGGGCTCCTGAACTTCCATGATTCCCAGGCCACACCTGGGCCACAGCTATCCTAGATGGCAAGAGCCTGAGCCCCTGCTCCTAGGGGGACAAAGGGCAAGAGGAAGGGACCCCCAAGTTGAGGTGGGGACCCTCAGGCTGTGCTAGCAGGAACAGACAGGGTGTCCGGTGGCTCCCAAGGCTGCAGGGTGGGGACCAGTTAAACCCTCTGGAGATGCTGCTGCGACGCAGGCACGGTCCTGCAGCAAAGGGGCTGCGAACCCCCCCAGGAAGGGACACAACCCCTGTGCCAGGGGAGGGAACCCCCCTCACCTCCATCTCCCGCTGCTGGGCGGCGCGGAGGAGCGGCAGGTTGTGGGGCCTGCAGCACTGCTGGGCCTCCTTGTGCCGGTGGAAGAGCTCCTGCTTCAGCCCTGCGGCGGGACAGGCAGCAGGTCAGGGCACGCCGCCACG